GGTTCAGCCTCAGAGAGCTGTAGAGACAGCTGTAACTCTGCAGGGGTGTGTGTGTCTGTGTCTCAGTGGGCTAGGAGACACAAATTCCACAAATGTCTCAGCTTTCAGTGCCGGTCACTGCTGGGCACCGTGAGAGCGAATCATTTTGTGCTTGTGAGACCAATGAAATAGAAATGGTGGTTTCTGTGTGTACGTTTGGAGCGCGGCTCAGTCGGGCTCTGACTATGTGCAAATAGTCCCAGAAGGTCTGCAGGAAGGTCCAGCTTTGTCCAAACCGTCAAATGTCTGTTTTGAGTAACACACCCAAAAGAATTATACGGGAATAAGAAGTGCAAACAATAACTAAGACATTTGCAACTTATACTTATGGTGGTTGACTGTGACCATTGAATACTATTTTATCTGCATCTTATCCACAGAGATAGAAACCGCATTTCTGGCACACTCTTTACTGCTTAATAAGAGCAAAGAACCAACCTAAACATCAGTAAAGTCTAATATATCGTGACGCATTGTTTGCTGATATTGTTTTCAGATCACAAAGTGAGCAGTTTGTACGGTACGTTAACTATCAACGGGATTCGTACATGAAAAAAAGTGTGTTCTCTTCATGGAAATGCCTCATTGCAAAAATAAATGTGCGTTCCTGTGCTAAAGAGCTGGTTTCAGAAGCCACCTAAACATGAGGGGAGACATCTCTTTTTATTCAACAATCACAAGGATCCTGTTGGACCGAGGTCAGGAATAAACCCGTTTGTGTCGGTCTCCCTCGCTCAGGTCTCCATAGTGAACCTTTTATTTTAGCTTTTACAGCTGTGCTGCTCTGTAATTCCCTCTGGCACGAGCCCGGCCCCGATGGCGGGGGAACCACCCGCTGTGAATCCAGAATATTTTCAGAAGCGGTACTGGGCAGGGGCGGCCGCACACGTGTTTGTGCTAACCCAAACTCACCCTGGTGTGTGTGAAACCGAGAATCTTTTATCCGGCCGGGGGAGAGTGGGGGGGGGGGGGGGGGGTCCGGTGTGTTCTCCTCGCAGGTGTCCGTCACTAACCTGCCTGTGTCTGTGCTCCAGGGGCCCCTTCAGCGTGGTCCGGCGCTGCATCAACAGGGACACGGGCCAGCAGTTCGCCGTTAAGATCGTCGACGTGGCCAGCTTCACCTCCAGCCCCGGCCTCAGCACCGAAGGTGAGGAGCACGGCGGACCCGACGCTGTGTGCGTGTGTGTGTGTGTGTGTGTGTGTGTGTGTGTGTGTGTGTGTGTGTGTGTGTGTGTGAAATGGATGGAGACAAAGATAACAGGTGTGTGTGTGTTGTGGCTCTTTGGCGTTCACCATGTACCATCTGCGGCGCCCCAGTCAGACACAAGCCTAGTAGCCAAGAACAGCAAGACAAGGAAATGACCATTCACACCTTTTTTTTTTTTTTTAAACAAAAATCTGTCCGAAAATATTTTTGGACCTTTTTTTAGTATTTCTTCACACTAATGTGAATACTAAATGTATTCACTTGAAAATTAAAAAGGTTTTGGTATCTTTGGTATCTGGACGACTAGCCGTGGTCCGCTGCACCAGGACGGCACACGGTTTACTCACCCAGAGAGATGTGTACGTCACATTTAGTGCTTCTGATGTGTGATGAAGGGAATTCTTGACTGAGTAAGTAAACATTGAAGTGAATATTTATCTGTCTGAAGGAATCCGGAAGGTAAAAAGCTAAAAATTACAAAAATTACAAAAAAAAAATTTTAGACCCTTATTTCTGACATTTCAAAAAGAGTCACAAGCAAAATAATAAATGAATGGAGTCGATGCGTCAAGGTGGAGAAGTGGTGTGCACCTCATACTATATAGTCTTAATAGGAACGGATCTGTGTCAGCATGAATGTGAGTGAAAAAGAGGCAGAACTGCTACAAGGTAACAAGCATTCATATTCATGTATTTATATTGGTGTGTGTGTGTGAGAGGGAGGTGGACGGGACAAATGATTAATGGTATTATTAACTTTATTAGTTGGGCCGTAATAATCAAAAGAAAAAACTGGTACTGTTTGGATTAGTGAAATTGAATAAGTGTACACTTCCAATCAACACATGGGTTTACAATTCTTTAATATATTATAACCACAGTCCATCAACCGAACCTAAGTTAACACCGGCGCCAGTATTTGTGCCTCGCCAGCCAGATGTGCACCTGTCGTGGGTTGAGAAGATTTAACACCGCTTCCCTCGCCCCCCATTCCAGCCCCCAGATCCTCTGCGTGAGAATCTGATTGGAGCGGCGCCCGGCGAATGGTACCGCTCTCATTCAGACGCTTCCAGGCCTCCCTCGGGCTCCCGTGCGGGACACTGGGCGCCATTGTTGCGCTCAAGAATGGACACTCAATGGGACGGGTCTGAGGACGGGTCGCAGCGGGGAGAGGGATAATGAAAGGGAAGGGGGACAGTAGAATGGGTCCTCTGTGGTGGGGGGACTCTGCGTTATTCCTCTGTGTTGCATAATGACGCGGACACACAGAGCCGTCTTGCAGACGGCGACTGGAGAGTGTAAATGAGGTTTTTATTGAGCGAGGAGCTCAACAACCCCACATTATATCTGTCGGCCTTCCTCCCCCCGAACGGCTGAGCCGCTCGCCTCGCCAGTCGTTGGTCCTTTCTATTTGCATAAGGAAGGAGCGGTGAGGTGTTTTCCTTAAGTCAAAGGACGAGGAACGCCACAGCCGTCACTGTAATTATGGCGCGATATGGCCGATGATGCGAGGCGTTGATGAGCGCGAGACCAGATGTGCAATTATGCATGCAATCCAAAAATGAGAATTTTTCCCGGTGAAGCCGCATCTGGTGTCACTTTGCCCGTCTGCCGGATGGTCAGCTCGTCAGCTGGCCCGCCGCTGCTTTGTCCGCCGTGTGAAGGCTCACCTCAAGTCTGTGGTCGCCACACACACAATGGAACCCCTGTAAATGGAATGAAGTGTTGCTCCCCCTGGTGGCTGTCGAGCGAGTGGCCTGCCGAGCATATCCTCCCTGCTTTTCATCTCCTCTGCTCGTCCTCCGGGGACAGAAGAGGGTTTAGCGAGTCACCAAAGGAGCGTCTCGGCACAGCAGCCGCCTGTCTTTCTTTTCTTTTCTTTTTTTTTTTCTTCTGCTAACGAACATCAGGGAGCTTTCGCACCCGAAGGCCGTCTGATGTTTCCAAGTGACGTTTGGTTTAAATTAGCTTGGTACATTCTCATCATAGCGCTTCGCACCTTTTCAGCAACGGCACTAATTAAGAATACAGATATCATTTTGATCTGATTCTGCTTGGACTGTAGTTATGGGACCGGTTGCACACGGCTCTCACTATACCCACTATAACAATATTTTCGTGCCACAGCATCACCTTTTTAAAGCTGTTAATACCTCTATTCAAAAGCGTATCGGTTCCTCAGTGCCATAAAGTACGTGGTTTGATAATGTCAAATGTCTTTTTACAAGCAGTTTCAGACATTTAACACTGAAAGTACATCTGCCACAATTGAGTCAGCACAGGAAGCTCTCTGTGAAATGTGATCCATGAGAAAAGCAAAAGATGAATTGTTGAGAAAACAATAAAGTTTGTAGGTTTGAATTCTTCAGCCTGCCAGCTCCTGTTTGACAGAGTTGTTCTGGGTTTTCTCGCTGTCTCATCGTACCTTTTCTAATTTCCCTCTGCCAGATCTGAAGCGAGAGGCCAGTATCTGCCACATGCTGAAACACCCTCACATCGTGGAGCTGCTGGAGACGTACAGCTCCGATGGAATGCTCTACATGGTCTTTGAATTGTAAGTCACATTGCACCATTTCAGGGTTTTCAGATTTGCATCTTGTGTCTGATCTTAAGTGAGAAAACACTCTTCCGTTTCCCCACAGCTGCTAGTCAGCCACAAAATGCATTTACGTTTTTTTTAAAGTACAACAAGCCACAGACTCTTTAACCAGCAGGATGCGCCTCATCATTTCACACGTTACCAACCCGCTCACTTGGTATTCAATCTATAGTTGAAAATGTTAATATAATAATAATAAAATGAGGTACCCAAAAAAAGTGTTCAGAAATTGCCCAAATGATTATTAACTTAATGATTATACCTGCTTCCTTTCTTGATGGCTTTTATGTTGTGAATCTATATCTCACGGATCCCCCTGAAAGCGACTCAAAAATACATGCATGTTGGAGCCTGTGACAGTGTAATGTGGATGTAGACTTTTTTTTTTTTTTTAAACACTATTTGAATTGGCGCTACTTTATCTGCCCTTAAGTGACCTCTTATGCACAATCAGACCTAATTCCCACCTCCTCTCACTCCTCTCAGCATGGATGGAGCCGACCTGTGTTTTGAAATCGTGAAGAGAGCCGACGCCGGGTTTGTGTACAGCGAAGCGGTGGCCAGGTAGGACACACCGTCTGGGGACTATGGTTAGAGCATATATAATAAGAATAAAGCCTGAAATAAACGATCGCTTTCCCCTTGATGTGATTCTGCTCACCCAGTCACTACATGAGGCAGATTTTGGAGGCTCTCCGCTACTGCCATGACAACAATGTGATTCATCGCGACGTGAAGGTGAGCTCTCTCTCTTGTGTGTCCCTCGCTGAGATTCTAAAAACCCTGTTTGCATGAACAGTTGTTGTCATGGGAGCCTCCCCGGTCTGCAAACCAGTGCGTCATGCTGGGGTTGTGTCGAGCAGGCGAGGTCAGTCCTTTGTTAGAGTTCTTATGGTCAGATTAACATCAACCAGTGATTCCAACAGGATTAGCCCTCTAACGCAGGCGACACACACACGACCACACCAGATGGAGCCGGCCTCCACCGCTGTTATTTGACAGCAGAGCCCCCCGAAGGGACGAGCACGGCCTCGCTGCCAGCGGAGCTGTGTGTGTCCGGGTTATACATGCGTGAAAATGCACATTACTGCTAACTTTGATTTAACTTCGGGAGCGGCAGATTGTTTTATCTTTTAATAAATCCCATAGAGACTATTACGGATACTCAAAATGGCCTTTTTATTTTGAAAGAAGCCATATGTGTTTTTTAGATAATTCATCGATCACTTGATCCATTAAAACAACTGCACACATTCTACTTCTCTCAGATGGGAAGCACGCATGCACACATACACACAGTACATAGAACATGCATTCTTAAAAAAAGCTGCTGTCACTGAAGCACATCCCCCCCCTCCCCCTCCCCCCAAACATAACAGTGCTGTCAACCTGTCACTCGAGCATTGAACTAGAACAGCGGTTCCCAAACCTTTTAGGCCACGCACCCCTTTTACATTCCAACTGGGTTCATGCACCCCCACACCGCCAAACCCCCACACATAAAAAGAAAAGGTATATTTGTAGCTGCATTAAAATGGTTGTTTACAACATTTAGTCTGCTGTTCAATGTTGCAGTGTGAACACACACCAAACAAAGGGGCAACTATAACATGCTATCATATTAATTATGAATCAGGACAAACAAAAAAACAACAAATACCCCTAAATTTCAATAGGTTTCAATAAATTCCATTTACGTCACTTTAAAGGACCAATAAGAAGGACGAGGACACACGCACAGGCTCAGAGGCAGATTGCATCATATTCCATTTACACTTAACCATACATAGTGGCTAAATTATTTAAAATTCAAAATGTAAGGTTACACATCACAACTGATAATCGGAGGTAGGGGAAGTTGAAATGACTTAAACACAGTAAACCACTTAAAGAAGAAATAGCGGCACCAAATGCATAGTCTCAGAAACCGATATGAATAATACGGGAGGATTTCACACGCAGCGCAGAGGCTCTGTGCTGCAGCGAACCAGCGAGAGATCATGTTGGCGAGTAAGCCCTGAACTAGAACATGGACCAGTTATTCCCACACAAGGCAGTAAGAATAGCCCAGTAGTAAGACAAACATTTAGTTTGTATTAATTTCCAACCTATATAATTTGGGGTCCATCACTGCTAGCCGGTTCGGTGAAAGCGTGGTCAGTCCGGTGCAGCGGAGCGTGGAGTTGATGGCGCAGATGCTTGTCCTGGGAGTGGCCGAGGGGGTGTGGGAGCCACGGTGAGGAAAAGCCACCAGCGCGGAGCCTCGCCTGGACTCCAACGTCGAGCTGTTCCACGTCGGGTCGTTCAGGAAGGGCAGCCGGTGGCCGAGCCGGTGGCCGAGCGCTCGGAGGGCCGCCTTGCGCACCGAGCCGGACAACAGGAAGTACATGACGGGGTCCAGGCAGCTGTTGAAGGCGGAGAGCAGCAGCATCACCTCGTTGGTGCGGTCCACCATTTGCAAGTAGTCGCAGGACGCCGCGTCGCTGAGCTGGGAGAGGATGTAGACGGGGCGAAAGGCGTGGTAGGGCCCGAAACAGACGGTGAACAGGAAGAGGACGAAGAAGGACTTCCTGGCGGTGCGCCCGTACCTCTGTGCGTTGGGAAAGTCCGGCTTGTCCCGCGACACCCTCAGCAGCAGAGACGCGATCTTGCCGTAGGACACCACCAGCATGGCGAAGACGAGCCAGAAGAACAGCACCAGGAGGCCGTTGAAGTAGGCCTTCCCTTTGGCTTTGCTGCTCCGCTGCTTGAATTGGAAGCATTTGCCGGTGAACTTCTCGTCCTCCACCGTGGACGCCATGGCCACCAGCCCCACCAGCGCCACACCCCACAAAACCCCGCACACCACCCAGCTCCACTCCCGGCTGCGCCCCCACAGCGTCAGGCTCCTGCCTTTCTTGGCTCGGCCTTTCCCCTTCAGCCGCACGTATCGGTCCAAGCTGATGAAGCCCAGCAGCGTAATGCTGACGTACATGGTCATGTAGAACAGGTTCCCCACCACCTTGCAGGCCACAGATCCCAGGATCCAGTTGTTGCTGTTGAGGTGGTAGAAAACTCTGAAGGGCAGACACGCCAGGAGGACCAGGTCGGCCACGGCACAGTTGATGAGGAACACCCGCACGGAGTTGCGGCTCGGGTGTAAGAAAAGGAAGACCCACAGGGCGAAGAGGTTCCCCGCTAGGCCAAAGAGGAAGAACAGCGAGTAGAGGACGGCCTGCGGCAGACGGAGGGCGTGGTCGTCAAACGAGCACGGCGTCTCGGAGGTGGACGGGTGGGAGGACGGCATGGCAACCGGGAGGGATGCCGTCGAGATGGGAAGCGAGGAGTTGGTCGAGGCGGATGTGGAAAGAGTGAAAGGGAAGGAAGTGGAGAATGTGGCCATGGTGGCTGAGCTGTGTCGACGTCAGGGTTGTTCTATTGGCTTTGGAGAGAGAATAAAAAAAAAAAATACATTTAAAAATTTGATTTGTAACAGCGGACATTAAGGACGGGAGGCGGTTGATTCTGACTGTTAACCTGCATTTATGTATTTTATGAGTAATGCACAGATCGTTGAGTCATATGCAAGTTGTAGTTCTAAAGGTCACAGATGTAATACTCAAATGTCAAATGGAAAATGATGTTGATGTAAGGTCTAGTAAAAGACACCAACATGAAAGAGGAGCCCAGCAGGTTATTGAATATTCTGGGAAAAGTACTAATTCTGAACAACGATTCTTCTTCTCATAGATTTTTTTTTTTCTACAAATGAAAGTTAGACTCGCGACTAAGTGAAATTTTCCTGCCTATTCAACTTGTTAATTCCCATTTCTAGTATATTACAATAACACCTACAATGCACACTGCAACCCGTGCATCTTAAAATGAAGGCCAATCACTCACCATCAACGCGCCTCGCACAGAGAATCCAGCACAGCTTCTGGCTTAAGCGCTGGTTTCACGGCGATCCAGGGGTGTTCTTTTTGGTCTCCATCAAACTGAATCGAGTCAAGAACTTGCCAAGAGTCCGTAGCAATTCTCGATGCGATGGCCACCTTTCACTGTTACCTCTTTGAGTGAGTCATAAATCCTGTATGCGTCCTTTCTCGCCGTCCTCTCTCACTTTACGAGGTGAAGAGTCTCTCTCTCTCTCTCCGTTACGGGAAGTGAGAAAAAATGTGAAGACAGGAAGTGAGCCCACTGCACTGTTGTGTTTGTCATGTTGCTTTTCTCGGTAATATTGGTGATATTGTCCATAGATCAGTGACCTACATTAATCTATAGTATATATGTGTGATATTTTCCCTTCTTTAACGTTACATGTTAAGAGGTTTTGCATGCAAAAGACTGATGCCAGTTTATTAACACCAATTATGAGTCCAAAAATATTTGGAGACAAAGTGTTTAATTAGGCCTGGTGTGGGAACAATATTTCAGCTTGACATTAACATTTTGCTCACTCGTCACTGTGGCTAGTAGTTTATTAGCCACTCAGCAATTTCATTGGCCACAATTTTTGTTGTTGGGAAATTTTAATTTAATGAACTAGATTTAAAATCCTTTCAAATGTAAATGACCATTGTAAACACCCAAATCAAGACTACATAAAATGTTTATGTGCATAAACAAAAAGGAGCTTTTACAACTATATAAAGCTCCTTTGGTATGAAAACGTATGCAACTGATTAAGTAGCTGTAACTGGGTCTGGGGTATTTTGTTTGGTCGCAATGCTTTTGACGTGGCCAATGTCATTGTCCTTTTATTGTTTTCACTGTGTGTGTGTGTGTGTGTGTGTGTGTGTGTGTGTGTGTGTGTGTGTGTGTGTGTGTGTGTGTGTGTCACGGTCAAAGCTGTTAAACTAGTCTTGATCTCCAAGTGCGTCTTGAACCTAGACCTTAAGTCTATGAAGCTGATTCAGCCTGCGGGCTAAACTGAGACCGCTAAACTAAGGAAGTGCGCACTCACGTCAAGCTCCGTAGTTCACATGAGCCACCGATGTGACCGGGCGTTCTGGGGCTCGTTTACTCCTGACTCATCATTGACCACATTAAATGACAAATGACAAATGCATAATGAAACGGATACAGTGCAGCAGAGTCATGATTTACCAACTAGATAACGAATGAAATGAGTTTCCTGTGTATCTTTTCTCACTGTAAGCATTCTTAACTGAGTTCATTTCCCCCCCCCCCCCCCCCCCCAAGGAATTTAATCGAATTTCAAAATGTCAATTTTACTTCAATGGGAAAAAACAGGGCATTTTCATTCCTCCTGCACCATTTGTTGGAAATAACATCAAAGGTTGTGATGCTTCTGCTGTGACGCTGTTCCTGGGATAATTAAGCTGTGGTCGGAGTTGGTGCGTGTTGTCTTGACTTCTACAATCTTGCACTGTTGCACAGAAAGAGCAGTGCACCGTTAGCGTTGCCATATTTTTTTAAGGGTTATGGTTTAGCCCGTGTGCGTTGTCTCTTTTGAGTTGTACGTACACTAACTGTTCTCTTCTTTCTCTCTGCAGCCTCATTGTGTGCTGTTGGCCTCAAAGGAGAACTCCGCTCCAGTCAAGCTGGGGGGCTTTGGTGTGGCAATACAGCTGGGGGAGTCTGGTTTGGTAGCTGGAGGTACAGTGGGATCCCTTTTTTTGTTCCTTTTACACCTCCAAGGACTGGAATCCCCTCCCTTACATTTGCATACACATGTACCTGCCTTTCTCTCCGGGCCTAAGCAGTTATTTCTGTCATCGCAACTTGAATCTCTCAGGACTTTTGGTTTGTAGGTGTGAAGGCGTTTTCTTTAACACATGAATCCCAATGAGTTTTTCAGTTGGAGCCCAACATCCTTGTTTCCTAGAAGTTGTATCCTCAGAGTTTCCTTTTTTCCCCAGGATTACTTAAAACTCCTAGCAGCTAATCACCCTTAAGACGCGCTCTCGGTCTTCTGTCTGCAGGCCGAGTCGGCACGCCCCACTTCATGGCCCCTGAGGTGGTCAAGAGGGAGCCGTACGGCAAGCCGGTGGATGTGTGGGGATGTGGAGTCATCCTCTTCATCCTCCTCTCTGGCTGCCTTCCTTTCTATGGCACCAAGGAGCGCTTGTTCGAGGCCATCATCAAGGGGAAATACAAGGTAGGAGCTGATTTACGCGGCGCCCTCGGTGTCTCTCAGCGCCCACGCGCAACGTGAAAGGCAAGCGCGCTTCGGCGACGTCCCGCCTAGCAGACGTGACTCGTTTCGTGCTAATTATCGAATTAATTTGCCTCGCCGTTTGTCCTTCAATGCTATCGCAAGTGCCAGTTGTTCTAGCGCGAGGTGATGGATGATCCAATCGGCCTCTTAAAATTCTCTTGTTTCCTCGACTGCGAGTAGGAATTTCCTGCTTGGCGCACTAATCCACGGCAGATGCCGTCACTGCAGGCAGCTTGATTGATTGCATCAGGGTATCTTCCATCAAGCTGCTGCCTAACCAGCTGCCGCTAAATTCACGGATTCTACTCTGAAAATTTAGATCAGGAGCTCTACTAACACGGCATCTTGGTTTGACAATAATAAATGTCGGGCGCTGATGGGGGGTGGGTGGTGGGAAGGATCTACATTCTCTCAGCAGACTATCTGGCACAAGCAACTGGATCAAAAAGTGGCAGGTTCCTTTCTCAGAACGGCATGTAGCGGCATGGAACCGCCTCTTCACCCATAAGCAATTCCCATGTAAATGAGTATCTTTTACGATTTGTTTTGCCACTGAAGACTCGAGTCATGTCGGAAAATGTACTAGCATATGAATTCATAGGAATAGAACACGTCGTCATGCAGATTGGCACGGCAACGCTGAAATAATGAAGTGGAACATATTTGTCGACCGCGCGTGCTTTAGCTATAGGGTGATGGATGTGGGCACCAGTTATTGGGCAACAACGTAGGGGTAATGTCTTTGTTAATAGCTGGTGTCAAATTACATCAATAGAACTATTAATAATCTCTTAAGATAATTCACAAAATAAATAACAGGGCAACACCCTAAAAATGGACTAATAACCAAACTATAGGTCTCATAATTGATATTCACTCATTAAGAGCAAGGAATTGGAGGTTTGAGTTCGTACACTGGCCATCTTATTTATATATGCACAAAGAACACAGAAAACTGCTCCTTAAAGTAGAAGTTTATTAACTTCCAACAATACAAATCGAATCAATACCATTTGAAATCAACAGCTATTATACAGTATCCTAATATCTAAACAACAAACATGCGTTCGATAAGGAGGGGAGAGCTCAGGCAGGGAGCTAGCTGGATGCTAAGCTACCGGCCACATGGCTGAGGTGCTGCTAGCAGGCTGTGTTTGTACACCACGTGTGTTCCTCTGTCTGTAGATGACTCTATATGTGTGGAGGGACCGGTGTATTAGTTAGTATACTAGAAATCAAAGAAAGAAGGAAAGGCTCCAAGCAAAGCAGATCTTATCCGGAACAGTGAGGCACGATAGCGGTTAACCTTGTCACGTCACGCAGTTCTTAAACAATACAGTAAACATCAAACAAAAACAGAAAGACACATGTTAATCTAACATGGCATCACTGTGCGTTGATGCGTTTCTGTTTCCTCGAGCCTCGTTTAACTAGTTGTATAAGAAGTTTTCCTTCTTGGTGAGCTGCTTGGGCCAGAAGTGGAGACTGGGGGAGCCCGACTTCTCTGGAGCAGCTAGAAAATGGTTTGGGTTGAAGAGAGATACTTAACCTTAGTCTTTAACCTTGCACCTCGCAAGTGGATTCGGAAAGATGTGGATTTGAAGGAGACTGTCTTTGACCTGTTACATTGTCTGAAACCTTTGACCTACGGAGCTCTCACACACATACCTTCATCGTCGACCCGTTATTTGTGGTTCCCACTGTTTACACATGCGTTTCAAAGTGTCCTCTGGTGTGTGTCTGCGTGTTTGGGTGTGTGTTCTTGTCCAGATGAACCCCCGCCAGTGGGCCCACATCTCGGAGAGCGCCAAGGACCTGGTGAGACGCATGCTGATGCTGGACCCGGCTGAGAGGATCACCGTCTACGAGGCCCTCAACCACCCCTGGCTGAAGGCGAGCTCACGCACGCACACACACACACACACACACACACACACACAGCTGCTAGGGATGGTTTTACTACAGTTAAGGAGTTCGCATTAGAGAAAGTTAGTTTTCTCAAGTTTTGTGGTAACATATAAAACAGTTAGTGTTTGATCTTTAACCTTACTGGTCGGACTGGTGCTGGCACGAGAACACTTCCTTCCGCTTGCAACCACAGCTCTGCTTTCACATCCACTCCTCGTCAAAAGTGTGTGTGTGTGTGTGTGTGTGTCGTGTGAGTATAGGAGAGGGACAGGTACGCCTACAAGATCCACCTGCCTGAAACGGTGGAGCAGCTGAGGAAATTCAATGCCAGGAGGAAGCTGAAGGTCAGCACCGCATCAATCTTCGCCTCCGCTCAAAATATTGTATCTGAGATAAGAGGAAGTGGCACCTGCTCCGCAGAGCGCAGCTGCTTCTGATGACCCAGATTCATTTCTCGTCCAATGTTTTACAACAGGCCTGTCTTCAGAAGGCACAAAAAGCCTGTTGAGGCTTTACGTAACAGCCGTGTAATCTGCTGTTTGTATCCCAGGGCGCAGTGCTGGCAGCGGTTTCCAGCCATAAGTTTAACTCTTACTATGGTGACCCCCCAGAGGAGCTACACGACTTCTCAGAAGACCCCACCTCCTCAGGTAAATCACACAACGGAGCACTTTTCATGTTTGGTTCTTCACAAATGTGATGGTAGGTATTCACACCCTGAATTAATGATGTCACAAAAGGTGATGTCACAAAAGTGACAAGGTTCATTCAAATAAGAGTTGGGTCTCCCAACATATTCACATCCAGCGATGTGTCATGGGAGGTCAAACGCCAAACCACTCTCTAGGGCAGTTTCTATTCTCGTGGTCTTAATGTAGCTCCAGCTGTCTGCGGAGAACTTCCCCGTTTGGATGAAGACAGATGTTGCCCAATGCCCTCGCTTCCCCGTCTCAGCCGCAGACTTTCGCTTCCTCGCGTTTGTGTGTGCCGAGCTGGGATCGGCACACACAAACCCCTTGTGTCGTCGTCGTAAAACTTAGAATACGAGCAGTGTAACACGTCGTTGCGCGGTGAGCTCAGCTCCGCCCGGTTCATGTGCAGCCGCGACAGCACGATATGCTTTTTGATGTGTCCTTATTGCTGAGGCCGGCAGCCTGCAGCAGCCATGCTTCCTGGCGGCAGATCTCCAGACACGCTGCGGGTTACAGATTGATGTACTACAGTAGATGCTTGCAGCAGCTTGGCAGATTATTCATAGATTGGGCTGCGTTTTGCTGATTTCCTATCTCCCCCCCCCCCCCTCCCCCCATCTGCCTCCTTTTTTCTCCCTGCCCTCAGTCCTCCTCCCACCACCTGCTCTGTGACTCTCCTATCTGCCTTGTGTCTTTTATTCTGTCATTGTAAGGAGTTAAACTCGACATCCCTAGTGGCAGAACGACCCTCTAATCGCAGCCTCTCTGTCTTTTTGGTGTTGTTTCTTTCTGCTGTTTTGTTTCTGTAGGACTGCTAGCTGCTGAAAGTACGTATCCCTCTCCCCACCCATCAAATGGTTGTGTGTGATACCATTTCATCCTCACTCGCTTTTAGTTGCGTGTGTGTGTCTCCCTTCGCTTTAGGAAAGCCATTGTAGTTTGAGTGTGCTGCTAATCCAAATTATTTTTGGCAATACGACACATGCATATTCATTATTTAAATGACAGAAAGCTCTGTAAA